GGCATAATTTTGAAAGGCATTTGGGGGTCAGAGGAGCCCAGCTAAAGAAACTAAGATCTCCTGTCTCAGGGCCCCATGCTTTTTATTAACACAAGTTGTCCTGAGGTGAGGCAGAGATATACACTTCAAGGGGTCAGGATTTCCTATACAGAGTCCATTGTCAGATTGGAAGAATCGCCTCCGGCTGTTCCGGTGTTTGGCCAGTAGGAGGCAATAACATGTAGACTAAGATGCCCTGCGCTGTCTGGCAGCAAACAATTTAATGCTTCCTTTTCAGGTTTGGGGAAATGCCCTGGCCACTCCGGGTGATTCAGCCCCGCTGTCATGCTGGCCGGGTCACTCACAAGCTCTGTGACCTCAGGCAGGTCATCACCTCTCTGAGTCCAGACAGTCTCCCGGGCACAATGGGAAGCTCCTACTACACACCTGGCAGAGCTGCTGCTCAGGGAAGTGGGGTGATGTCTGGAGGAGCCTCGCCAGCAGCATCTGGGGATCTGGGGCACTTCCCTCCTTTCCCTGCGCTGCTGGCCCGCGGCACTTACCTCGGCTGCGGCTGCGTGTGTGACAGGCCCTGACGCAGAAGTCCACGCAGGAAGGGCAGAGGTCGCAGAAGGCGGGACGGAGGTGGCCTGGCCCAGAGCAGACATGTTTGTTGAGTTAAAACAAAGGAATGTTCCTGTGTAACAGTTACTGAGCTTGGCATCTGTCAGAGGCTCTTAACTTGCTGTGCGGATACACTGACTCCTTCCTGTAAGTGAGACAACAGGCCCAGAGAGGCTAGGAGCTTGCCAAGGGCACAGAGCGTAGCGTTAGCATCTGGTCCTACGTCCCCTGCTCTTAGTGTCACTGGGCGGCCTTCCAGTTGAGCTGGAGACACCTCTGACCTGAATGCACAGGGTGTGAGAGCAGCCACTGCAGCAGGCGGGCAGGGAGGGAGAAGGTGAGTCCACGCCCACGTCTCGTCTCCCTCAGAGCTCGGCCTCCTGCCCCTCTTGATGATCATCTTGGTTCTCAAACTCACGCTGCTCGGCACCCTCACCGGCGTCTGCGTGTGGAGAAGGGGGAGGAAGCCGGCAGGTAAGTGGAGGGTCCTAGGACACGCTGCCTGGCCCGCCTCCCCGCACCGGGTTGCTCCCAGGTCTCGCTCCTGGGCCCCATGTGCCCCGTCTGATCCCTAACAGCAGCTTCACTGGCTGGGCTGGTTTGGGGAAACTGTCAGGCGGGTGCTGCCCTGAGCTCCCTGAGTCTCCTGGGACAAGCTTGAGCCATCCTCCCTTCTAGAATCTTCCTCACGGTCTTGCCACCTGGGATGAGGGTGGGATGCGGGAGCAGGCGCCTGGCCCGGTTCCGCCTGGAGGACTCTGCAGCTCTGCTCTTTGCTTCCCTCCCCCCAGAGCCCGGCCCAGAGGCATCGCTGACAGTTTATGAAGATGTCAACCACCCGCCAGGCAGGAGCGGCCAGGTGAGGCCCCGAGGGCTGGGGTTCCCTCCTTCCCTCTGGAAGTGCCCTGGGGGGATGGCCCTGCTGAGCAGGGGCCAGAGAGCCCGCTGAGCCCCTGAGTGGCCTCAGGCCCGTCTCTGCCCCCCTCAGCGTCCTAGCTCTGGCCCTGGGTGGAGAGAAAACTGGGTGAGACGATGAAATGAGGCCGAAGGGCATTTGGGTGCAGAACTGAACCTGCTGAGCCGGGATGGGGACCCGGGCAGAGGCTGCCTCTGCTCCCTGGTGGCCCCCCGGTGCCCTTTCCTGAGGCCGGGCTAAGGCTCAGGGCGGTGCAACCTTGTCTGTGGCGTCGGACACAAGTTCTCCTGCCCCTTAAGCCCACGTTTCCTTTTGGGGGCGCTTGGTCATTCGCTGGCGGGGAGGATGCTGGCGGGCCAGTCTTGCCCTGGCTCTGTGTCTGTGCTCAGACGCTTGGGAGGAAGAGGCTGCGCCTGGCCGAGGTGCTGGGGGAGAGCAGCCCTGGGCGGTGAGCCGGGCGGCGCTCGGAGGGACTACAAGACAGGCTGGGGGGACAGGCCGGGACGCAGTGCTCGCTGAACTATCCGATGGGAAAGGAGGGACAGGAAGGACCCTCCTCCCACCACTGTTCCTGGGGCTTGGCTTGGGGCAGCGAAGCAGGAAGTCATGTGTGGGGCCTCCTGCAACCACCAGGACAGAGAGCCTCCCTCAGGCGCTGTGGGGCCTGGTTGGGGCCCCGCAGCAGAATACGGGGTGTCTGTGCCTCTCCCTTCAGAACCGAACCCTAGTGCAGTCACAGCAAATGCAAATGCCCACAGCCACGGAGGCCCTACGCAGTGAAGGTCACTTCAGATTAGGAAAATGGGGGAGGATATTGGGGACGATGAGGATTTAGGAGAAAAAGTCTGTTGGGGATTCAGGCCCGTTCCTGCACTCCTGAGCCAGGGCTGTGTCCCCCGCAGTCTCCAAGGTTCGGTAAAGGCCTCAACCTTCACCCCCACGGAGTCCCCTGGGCCTTCCTGGGGGCGCTTCCCACAGGCCTGGGGAGAAGAGAACAGCAACAGCCCGGGTTCTGCCAGGTGCCTGTGACTCCCCAGCCTCCCAGTGACCAGACACCAAGGGGTTGAGCCTGTTCAGCAGAGACGGGGTGGAATCCTACACGAGCGTTTATTCCAGTCCTGCCGGCAGCAGGGAGAGCAGCAGGGCAGCCACACAAATCTGCTCCCCCTGCCCCATAAGCCGGCTGCTTCTATTGGGTATAAGGACAAAGATTACATGGGAAGGAGGCAAAAGGGATAAGAATGGGCAGTTTACAGGTAATGCTGGCTGGGGCTTTGCAAAGGGGGTGTGGGGGGCCCCTCTCATTTCTGCAACAAGATGGTCAATCTTTCCATGACAATAGGCAGCTCTGGGTGAGGAGGATGGACTGCATTTCCAGGTGAGCTCCCAGTTCCATGTGCAACTGTAGCCAGAGTAGAGTATGCCTTGTTTTTTTAAAAAATGTATTTTTATTGATTTCAGAGAGGAAGGGAGAGGGAGAGAGAGAGAGAGAGGG